CAATCAAAATAGTAATAATTAGAATAGAGTAACCTTAAGTTAATCACTTAAGAGTGTAGCATTTCTATTTCCCTTTGTATGTATTAAAACACCGAAAAATATTTTTAATCGTTTTGCGTCGCTGAGATTGATAATATAAACAATTTAAATTTTATTTATAACACATATAACACAGATGGGTATTTCTTTGATCGTGATGCCGCTTTAGGATATTTTGCGCGTCAAATAAACAGGAATCTTTTCGCTGATGCGGGCAAGAGACCGGTTTTGAATGATGAAATCACTCTGCAATCGACCACGACATGAGACAGGACATTGTTTAGTCCGAATTTTTCTTTTTTTAAATTTCTAATGGTTTTTCGTTATCTGTTTTTTGTTATCGAGAATTCAATTATGTACAGTGAAGTTTAGTAAGCAGTGTGGAGTTTAAGTGAAGGTTAAGATTTTGTTTCGGAAGAAATAGCTTGCGGCGTGTAGCTGCGTGCTTCAAAGACGGCAATTTTTTTATGTAGAGGTGAATTTGTGCTCAAGGTGCTAAATGGCAGTCTTTGTTGAGTTAATCACCGATTTATGCTGTATCCTATGTGAGGAGTTTTGTTAAGCAGCGTTACAACAATTTGACAAGGTCCACATGGTTTTAAGCAGAAGCTTTTTAGATTCCGAGTTTTGAAAAGTAAAATTTGTTGTCATCCAGGATAATCCGAAGCCCGAAGTCCATCTTGTTGTGTTCCATGGTCGTCCCAGACCATTTACAGTTTGTGTGGGACAGTGTTTTTGACCCAATTCCAAAGCCAAAAACCTCTTAAAGGAAATACCAGCCAGAGTGATATGAGGTACTTTTTGTTAAAATTTTTCTAAGTAAAAATGGACAATTTTTCATTACCTAATAAAAAATTTGCTTTCATGACAAACTAACAAAAATTAGAATTAAATGAAATTATGTTTTATGAATTAGCTAATTGTCATATTAGTTAAATGCAATTAACTTTAAAAATTAATTAATATTTTAAAAAAGGTTTAAGTTTTGAAGGAGTCAGTCTGATCCTTTTTGGACATTTGGTATATAACTATAACTTTGAATTATCTTGTTTAAAGGTTAACCTCAATGTAAGCTCCATTGAAAAATTTAGATAATTTTCATCTGTAATAATAATTTAAATTCCTATAAGTGGCCCCAAGGTCTGGAGCTTGTTGTACGTCGTTACAAATAGTGCCATTGTGAGTGTTGTTGATAAATTTTGTTATTATTTGTAATAAATATTACAAATATACAATAATGTTTCTCTCTAAACTAGGAGTTGTAGAAGTATTACATTTAAAAACATTTTCACCGTTTAATAATTTTTAGGAAAGAAAAGCCTTTCTTTCTATCCAGCAAGAGGATTCTTTTAAACGGCGTTCAAATTCAAACAGTTTAGGAACCTTATTATGTTTTGTTGCCCAGGAAATCTATGTAAGTATTTTCTTGGTTTCTTTCTTTGTAGTTACTCCTCCCAGTCCCTCCTTTATTCACTTAATTACGACCCAACTCTCCAACCAAATCAAGAGTGGCCGTTCGTAAAGGTTTCGGTTTGTTTGCTTACCCTATCTCCAGCCCAGTAATTGCTGTCCCCGCTTTCAACCCCTTATAAGTGATCCCAAATTTGGTAGCAAATTGTACCATTACAAGAGTACTTAACTATTGGAAATCTGGAAAAATTAAAAATTGATTATCAAGATGTTTAAATAATATCAAGATTATACTGGGGTCAAACGGCAAAAATAAAACTCGAAGAATCTCTGTCAAAACAAATTGCCTTCGTCACCGCAAGGCACCAGCTGCGTTCGTCAAAATGAAACAACTGTTGACAGACAGTACTATCTACCTCTATGGCTCTAAGAAGCGGAATGGTTAGGCGTGAGTCGTTTCAAATGCGGGTCTACAGACGAATTCTCATAGTGTCCTGGGTGGATTGAGTCATAAATCAATCAGTGCTAGAAAAACTCAATATTGAACCTGAAATTGTATTTACTATAAAGAAGAGAAAACTTAAGTTCCTTGGTTACGTCCCTAGAGGCACAAGGTATAAATTCTTTCAGCTTATAATGCAGGGAAAAATAGTTGGACAAAGAAGCGTGGAGTGTAGAAGAATTTCTTTGCTGCGTAACCTTCGTGAATGGTTCAGAATGACATTGGTCAAATTATTCCACGAGGCAGTTTGAAACGTATAAATAGCCATTTTGACCAGCAACCTCCACAGGAGACGCTAAACGCAAGAAGAAGAAGAAGCTTATCGCATAAGTGCATTTAAAGTCTTAACAACAATTCGTGGAGATTAGGAAAACATTATTATAATATTACTTACCTGAATTATAGTATTTTGTTGCTGACTAAGAGCTTTCAACTTTCGATCAAAGAAATTTAACGGCTTATGAGCTTCTTTTTGATGCTTAGTGCTTAGATGCACTAAATTTTCCCATCACATATTACGAATTTGAAGAAACTCTAGATAAATCAAAAAACCCTTTTATCAGGTCCTGATAATATACCAATTATATTTATCAAAAACTTGCCGTACACAGGAAAATTAACTCTCTTAGATATTTTCAATCACATATTGCTTAATGGTCCTTTTTTCTTTAATCTGGTCTGAATCAACAATTATTCCAATTTTAAAACCTTACAAATAAAAATCTGGCCCTCTTTTCTATAAACCAATTTCTTTTCAGAACATATTAAAAAGCTAGTCGTTTCCTGTCAAACTAAAATAAATCTCCTTAAAATGCTATCAAACTGATCTTGGGAAGCGGACACTATAAAATTGCTGCATATATAACAATCATTAATCCGAAGTAAACGTCCTGTTTCAAGTTTTTAGGTTATCCTTGCTGAACCCCCCTTTCAATACGAAGACAACAAATTTCTTTAAATTATGCTGTGAGATTTTCTCCCAACCCTAATAACATAAATTACCCACTGCTTTACAAAACTCATCCACCTAGACATTGCCATCAAAAATTAAAATATCCACCCCTTAAAGAACGTTTAACGAGATATGGTTTTGACCTGAAGCAGCTGACAAGTTCTTATCCTACACAACGAATTATACCTCCTTGGATTACTAATTCTTCCACTATTGACATATCCCCTACGGTCTATCCAAAGTACCACAAATCCTATAATGATTACCAAGTAACAATCAAGTTACATATCAAGAACAGATATCAGAATACACTGACTACGACAAGATTTTTACTGATTCATCAAGAACTGAAAATGGACATCTAGCAGCCTTTATACTAGGAAATACTAAATATGCAATTCGTATACCTCAATTCTGCAGCATTTTTATGGAAGAAGCAATCGCCATCTTAAAGGCATTAGACATATGTCAAACTTTCTTCTCATTACTGACTCTTTATCTGTTCTTCAGAGCTTAAGGCAAATATATCCAGCACATGCTATCCTGCAACAAATACAATTGGTATTTCATCATCATCATCATCATCATTTTGGCTTTACAGCGATGTGTGGATCCTAGCCTCCCCAAGAATTTTTTTCCAGTCGTCCCTATCCATCGCTTTCCTACGCCAAGCACAATTGGTATTTCACCACCTACAAAAAACAGACATGCAAAAGTTAAATTTCTTTGGGTACCGTGGCACACAAGTATCACAGGAAATGAAAAAGTTGATACATTGGCAAAGAAAGCTGTTACTGACAAGCAAACTGAAATAATGACAACAATTCCATTTAGTGATATCCAGCTCAATATTAAACAGCATTGTGTAAAAAATTGGCAACATATATGGAATTCTACTACGGCTAAACTTAAAAATGTAAAAACTAGAATTTCCAGAAAATAAAAGCCGACAGGTGATAATAAACCGTTTAAGAATTGGACATACAGCGTTAACTCACCAGAATTTCATAACAAAAGAGCTACCACCTGAATGTTCCTACTGTGAATGTCCAATAACTGTCCAGCATATATCGATTTAATGCCCTCTTCATTCCTATGAAAGAGCCATCAACAACATACCAGAAGAAGCAACTAAACTTAAAGATATTTTAAACTGTAATGTATCAAATACAATCAAATTCGTTTATTACATAAAATTTAATATTTATATATATATATATATATATATATATATATATATATATATATATATATATATATATATATATATATTATTTTGCAATTTATAATTTATTATTTGTAATTTAATTTGCAGTTGGTATATTTTGTTACTGAAAAATATGTAAAATATGTAAAATTTATAATGGTAAAAAATTTTACCATTATCTTAGCACCATCACAGGTCCCAATATTCCACGTAATATAAAGGTTCTAAGATTATTTTTAAAAAAATTTCTGATTTGTTTTGCAACTTTCTAAGCAACAAATACGAATAGAAACATTTAAGAAACTTCATTTTGAAGGTTTTTATATGACTTTTAAGTTTTTTACTCTCAAATTTGTTTCAAATAATAGATATAAAAAGCGAAAATTTAAAATTTTTTGACCTTAATTTATTAAAAACTAGTCAAGTCCAGAAAAGTCGACTACAGGAAACATATAGGTTCTTGATAAATAGGTCCATACTACTCAAAACAGCTGTCGTTTGTCTGGAGAGGTCAGTGTCAATAGAAAAATCTTTCCCTCTACTATTTATATTCTAATAAACTACAAATTAAAATAAAAGAAACGCCACTGTTTTAATTAAAGTGTGACTTTTCTTCCATTCTCGAAAAAATATACAAAACTTTGTTGAAAGGAAGGTTTATGTCTTAAGATCTTTACAGGTAACATTTATTTGAATGAAATTCGTTAAATTGGTACACATTTTCCGCGACCTACCCTTGACCTTCTGTCGGAAAAATCAATATTATCCCTAACCTAGTAACATAATCCTTCACGATTCAAATCAAGAAAGAAGATTATATTAAAATAAAATATTTACTAATCGTCGAAACAAAAATCTTGTCAACTATAAATAACTACAAGTTCATCTACAAACGTTACTTAAAATTAGCACAGGTTTCTGGCGCGTGGAAAAATTTTTTGATCGATTTTTCCAAACATTACATACAGAATGAAGTATTTGTTGCTTTCAAATGGCAGTGAATTACCCATTGTGGGACTAGGTACTTGGAAAACAGAGCCACAGGAGACCGAGGAAGCTGTTGAAGTTGCTTTACAAAATGGATATAGACATATCGGTATGTAATTTTAGATATTTCTTTACTGGCTTTCTATAATATCTTTTATGACATTTTAATTAATCCCAAATTGTAGATACATACAGTGTAAGTTTCTGCATCAGATTCATGTTAGATATATTATATTGGGGATATTTATTTTCGTATAATCTGACGCAAGTTGCCACTGTCAATTGCCATCCATCATTTAAGTAAAATGTTTAAAAGTTCCTAGATACAAATTATAAGGAAACGGGTTTTTAGCAAATAACTTTTTTTTATACATTCCATATTAGTATCTACATACACAAACTTGTAATAACTTCTTTCTATTTGTTCTTTACACTTAACTTATTTTAAAAAGTATATAGTTGATCTCGTCTATAACCAAATAACCACGTTTTCAAAGCCAGCTAATTTTAATCATGAAAAAGTATAGTTATGCCAATGATCTTCTAATATATTTCTTGTTGAAATTTTTGATGTCCATATATTAGTACAGCAACATTAGTAGTAGAACAGAGAACAGGGCAAGTGCTCGGGGAAATAGAGCGTTTTCACAATTGCAAATTCGTGTTATTATTATAGAGTAATACAGAATAATGTAATAGAGTATTACAGTCATTATTTCACTCTCTGAATCCAATTCTTTATTAAACCCTCCAAGATATTCGTAGTGGTTTACCTAGATAAGTTTTCCATTAATTTGTAATTTGTAGTCTAGCATACATTGTTTAAAATGTTTATATAATAAAAATAGTCCTCCCTTATAATGCTAAAAGAAGTTTGGAAGTACAGCAGGTTCATTATAATTATAATTGTCTCGAAAATATTTTGTGGATCTTGTCATGCTCGCAGACAAGTCTCTATTCCCGTCGATTCCTAGCAACTGTCTTCCATCTTATATATTCAGGGATTCTACATTGTTTACTGCCTTCCCTCGCTCAATCGTTTCCATCTCTCTCTGTTGTTCCATTCTCCATCGTTTAGACCTCTCTTACTCATGGGGTCGTCTACTTTGTTCCTCCAGGATCTTCGGGGTCGTCCTCTTTTCCTCCTTCGTATGGAAGGAGGTTATTCTCTTTATCCATCTGCTGTCGCTAATTCTTCTTACATCCATATGTCCATACCACTTTAGTCTTTTTTGTTCTATATATGTTAGTATGTCTGTTTCTATTGAGGTTCTTTGCTTTATTTCGTCATTACTTCTATCCATTCTTGTTACTCTGCAGCATCTTCACAGACATTCCATCTCTGTTGCTACTATCTTACTGCTGTTTTTCTTCTTTATAATCCAATTTTCAGCCCCATATTTCATAATACTTCGCACTAATGTTTTATAAATCTGTGTTTTTGTCTTCATATCTAGGTTTCTATCCCACCATACTGAGTTAAGTTTTTGGATTGTTGTTCATGTTTGTCCTAATCTTTGCGTAATTTCTTCCTCTATTGTTGCCTTCTTCGTGATTATAAACTCCAAGTATTTGAATTTATCCTTTTCTTTGATTGTTACGTTCTCGTCAATCTGTAGATCTTCTATGTCTTCTTCATTTGTCAATAGGTATATTCTTCTTGTAGTTTCTTTATCATGTAGCTGAGGTCGTCTTGATCTTGTGCAATCAGTTGTCTGGCACCCGTACTGCCATGCCTTCGCATTTTCTTTTCCATGTAGTCAAGGCTTTCTCTAAGTATATTTTGAATAGGTTTGCAGATGTGGAACAGCCCTGCAGGAGCCCTTTTGTTGTAGTGAAGTCTCCTATGATTCTTGTTTCCACTTTAATGGACACTTTATTTTCTTTATACAGAGCTTTTGTAGCTTCTATGAGTTCTGTCTGTATTTTTAATCTGTTCATTGCCTCCCATAGTTCTGACCTTGGTACAGAGTCATACGCCTTTCTCAGGTCCACAAATGCCAAATGTATATCTCTATTTTTGGCTTTTTTCTTTTCCAACAGTTGTTCCAGTGTGTATATGTGGATCTTTTCTCGCAGTATCTTCCCATATAATCTTCCTTCTTCTGTCTTCCATCTTCTGACCCTTAAAATCTTAAGTTCTTCTACATCATCACTTCATCTTACGATCATCTTCTACTTCTTTAGCCCTCTGTTTTTTAGAATGTCAATATCCTCCTGTATTTATTATCTGACATCCTAGCAATTTGTTTAGCCCATGTTAGTACTTTAATAAATTTCACAATACCTGGATCGGTATATCTCTTTCTTCTTGTAGTGCCTATCCGTTTCGAATATTGTCGATCATCATGGCGATCTGTATTTTGCAAACTGCGGATCTGAAAAGATTTGTGGTTGTTGTGTTGAACCACGTACGTAGATTTTTCAGCCAGGAAATTATGCGCCTTCCTGAACCTTATTTTCCTTCTATTTTTTCTTGAAGAATTAATTGCAGCAACGCATATCATTCGTTGTTCCTCATGATGTGACCGAGGTATTCAATTTTGGCTGTTTTTATTGTGGTTAACAATTTTTTTCCTTTTTGCATTCTTAATAAAACGTCCTGGTTAGTAACGTGGTCGGTAAAGGTTCTACGATAAAGCCACATTTCGAAAGCCTCAATTTTCTTAGTTTTCCTGAATAGTTTAGTCATTTTTTTAACAGTTTAGCTTCTTAAAAGATTTCCTCAGAGTATATGTTAAACAGCGATTGTGATAGTATACATCCCTGTCCGACCCCACGCTTGATTTTGATATCATCGGATTCTGCTGCCTCTGTACGGATAGACTGTTTGATTCCAGTAAATATTACTAATAATTCTCAGATAATAGGCGTTTACTTCAATATTTGTTAATGTCTCCATCAGCTTGTCGTGTTTTACTGTATCAAATGCTTTGTGGTAATCAATGAAGCATGCATAAATATCGCAATTCACATCTCTACATCATTGAAATAGCACTTGTATGCTAAAGAGAACCTCTCTCGTACCCACTGAAATTCCAAAAACCAAACTGTGTACGGCTGATTTTTTCTTCGCATAATCCTTTGATGTAAGTATGATTTTTAGAAATAATTTTAAAATGTGGCTCATTAAGCTAATGGTCCGGAAATCATTGCAGGATACGGATTTTATTTTCTTTGGTAGAGCAATAAACGTTGACTTCAACCATGATCTTGATATTACTCCGTTTAATTATATGTCATTGAATATTTTTGTTAGTCGTTGAGTACCGTTGGTGTTAAATAACTTTACGAGTTCAGCGTACTCATTGTCAGGTCCAGGAGCTTCGCCATTTAGTTGTGATATTGCTTCCTCCACTTTATCTGATGTGATTGATAAGTGGTCATTACATACGTAGGACGGAGGTTGTTCGGACCTATTATCATCAAAAAGTTCTTGTATGTATTTGGCCCATATGCATATTTCTTGTTTTTTTATCTGATTTGATGTTCCCCTGTTAATCTTGCAATTTACTAGCTGTGTTGGATTTTTGAAGAACAGCTGCTTGTTTAACCTTTTTATGCATATTGAATGTATCGTGTTTTTGTTTCAATAACTCTATCTCTTCACACTGTGTTTTTAAAAAATAAATAAGCTTTTTTGAATGACTCCGTGCAAATGTCTCCTTTTTAAACCTTTTTAAATCTAAAATTAAATTTACCAATAACAGGAACATAATCTGGCGATACGTCAGCACTGGGGTAACTTTTAACTGATAGGCATCCATTACGGAATCTCTTGTTTACCATTATGTAATCAATTTGATTCCTTATTATGTTTTCTGGTTGATTTTGCGGAGAGGCCTAAGTATACAAACGTCTTGGTGGTAGTTTGAAGAACGTATTTAGTATTGCAATTTTTTTTCCTCTACAAATAGCTTTAATCTTTCTCCTCTTTCATTCCTCTTCCCTAGACCAAAATCACCAATTAATTCACCGCTTTTCCTTTTACCAATTTTCTCCTTCAAGTCACCCATAATAATAGTTTTATCTTCTTTTTTGATTTGTTTAAGTGAATTTATCAACAACTTATAGAATCGGCATATACCTTTTTCGACACCATAGCCGACGCATTTTCCAAGTAGTCTCTCGTCGTTTTGAGATCAACTCCATATTTCAGCCCCATATATATATATATATATATATATATATATATATATATATATATATATATATATATATATATATTTATATAAATATATATATTTATATAAATATATATATATATATATATATATATATATATATATATATATATATATATATATATATATATATCTTCTTCTTGTGCCGTCTTCTAACGAAGGTTGGCGATCACTTCTTTAAACGCTTCTCGATTTTTGCAACGTGAAATATCTGTTCAACACTGAGGTTAGTTCAATCTCTGATATTTCTCAGCCAAGATTTCTTCTTTCTTCCCAAGCATTTTCTTACCTCTACTCTACCTTGCATGATGACTTGTAGCAGAGAGTATTTATCGTTTCGGAGTATGTAGCCCAGATACGATGTTTTTCTTATTTTAATTGTGTTCATAAGCTTTCTGCCATGTCCAACTCGTCTTAACACTTCCTCATTTGAGACTTTTGCAGTTCAAGGAATCTTCAAAATACGCCTATATAGCCACACTCCGAATGACTCCAATTTTTGTAATGATTGGGCTTTTAGAGTCCAAGCTTCTACCCCATATAGTAGTTGCGACCAAACATAACATTCGACGAACCTCAATCTGATGGCCATACTCAATTTCTTATTTGTAAACATTGACTTGTATTTTATAAAGCCTTTTCGAGCTATTTCTATTCTGATCTTTATCTCCTGCTCTTGATCTAACTGTGAGTTTATAATTGCTCCGAGGTATTTATATTTGTCGACTCTCTCTAGGGGTTTACCCTCCAATGTCAGTTGTATGTTGTCAACAGGGTTTTTGAGATGACCATGTATTTGGTTTTATTTATATTCATTGTTAGTCCCATCTTTTTGCTTTCTCTGTTAATGATTTCCAGGAGAGTTTGTAAATCGTCTATATTCTCTGCCATGATTGCGGTATCGTCTGCAAATCTTATGTTATTA